ACCCCCCCCCCCCCCCCCCACAACCCGCAAATCCCAATTGTTTTATTTTTGTAAAAAATTTTTTATATTTTTTTTTTTTTTTTCCCCCCCCCCCCCCCCCCATGAGGCAAAATCACATATATCCTGTAATAATAATTCTCACAGGGTTGGAAAAAATTTAAATTTGCCTTCATTTGCTTTTAATGTATCATCCAATAATAGTGGAAGAGAACCTGGTAAGATGAAATACCATGTACTATTTCCTTGAATCCAAATTATTAGATCTTTATCATTTTAAGATATGTATTCTCATTCAAAAAAATTGCAATTAATAATGACACTTAGAGATAATATATTTATATTGTATAGTATTGTACTGTATGGTAATTTTATATTTTAAAAATTGAGATTATATATAGATGAAATCTTCAATGTCGAAACATAGTAATAGTAGTACTGAGTATGTATGTATCTTAAATATTTTCCATGCGGTGAATATAAAGTAGTAATATTAATGTAATTTAATGTAGAGATATAAATTGATAATTTGGGATTATGTATGCTAAAGATAATGCCACAAAAAATATTGGAGCTCAAAGCAATGAAAATTTGCTTAACTTTTCTTTTGAGTCTCTTTTTAGTTTGTAACTATACTCAAAGTTATCAGTGCTTAAGATTTTCCCAGCAATTAATTTTCTTGCTTTCCACGACAAATTGATCTGTTTTTGTTGGCTTTACATCAGATGAATTAGGGTTCAATTCCAAATACTTTATCCAAAGCGAACTCGATTTGAAAATTTTTAGCATCAAGTTATTTGCAAAAGCTTGCTTATAGATTTGACTTCAAGTCATAGTATCTACCTTTTTGATTTCAATTGGCAAATGCTTGTTTGCTGATGGTAATAATGCGGGCTTTATTAAAGCTATATCCTTAGCAATGGTTTTATTTGTTTGACCAATTATTCCCTAGTTATTTTGCAATCAATTCTGGCGTTTTGCTCAGAAAATGCCATGATCTTTCTTGTAATTAGGACATAAAAATGTGACCACTTATTCCTCCTGTAGGAATTTCAAGATTAGGACAATAATCTTATTAACAGTCTCTTGCAAAAGAGAAGCAGGCTATTTTTCATTTATTTGGTTCTACTTCTCTTATATTATTCTTTTTGTTCCAAAAGTTGTAGTGAACCTTGGTAGAGGAAAATCTACTTTTCACAGAAACTGCAAAATTTCATCCTTGCTGTGAAATATTACTTTCTTCAGTCAACACTCATTGAATTGGTTGGCAAACAAGACAAATTTATAAAATTCGTCAGCATTATTTAGAATAAAAATCGGTATGATGTATCTACTATAATAATAATAATAATAATAATAATTAGTTTACCTTGATTTGACATATTTGACGTATTGGCGTATTTTTAAATTAATTATTATTATTATAATAAATTTATATCCAGCCTTTTGAATGGAGGAATCATGTTAATATGGGGTATTCATGACTAGAACTAGCTGGAGGATTATGAAATACAAATCAGATAAAATCTATTATGTGGATATCGATTTTCGGTTTTTTGTGTCTTAAAACTTTAAAGAATCAGAATTCTTCCTTGGATCTAGCAAAATATCACCATTCTTAATCAAGAAATTTGCTTTCTTAATAGAATTATTAATTTAAATTGACAAGAAAGAAAAAAGGATTCGAATTAAATAAAGAAAACATATAACAAAAAAAAAATTGTTTCGAACATCCTAACTATTCCTCCTCACTTTTATTTCAATCATATTAATATTATTTCAAATGGATTATTTTTAGTGAATTTAGTTTTTTGATTATAAAGTTTAAAACTAATGTCAATTTCCATAATAAATATAGCTTATTAGAAAAACAATCATTTCAAGGCTTTGTGAAATTTAATAATAAACAACATCTTAAATAGAAGGAATCTTTCAAACAAATTAGATGACACACTCGCAAACATAACAAAAAGTTTAGATAGTTACTTTGGTGAAGAAGTTTACAAAGATGACAGCAGTTTGGATATTAATGACAGTACTAATGTTGAATCATTTTTATACAAACATTAATGGCAGTAATAACTCAAATAATAATAATAATGATCGTGATAATAATAATGTAATATGAACATTAATAGCAATAACAATAATGATAATAATAACATAATGACAATAATAACAATAATGATAATAATAATGATAATAATGGGGAATTAAAATCTGATTAGATTAAGATTTGATTTGGTTTGATTTGATTAATAAAATAAATTTATTAATGCGATGAGGTCAAGATATGACAGATATCAAACTGGCCAAACGAATTTCCGTGGGTTGAACCCCGCAATATAAATGATGAAAAAATAAAACAATCTATTTTGTAAAGGTGCAAATAATTATAGAGAGGATTATCTACTTAGACATTGAAACATGAGCATTTTGTAATTTAAGCAATTGACAGATAAAGTTATCAACTCTATTTCAACAAGACAACCAACACCAATGTTAAATAATGACTATGAAGAAGTAATAATAACAACAATTCTCTTTATTCTCTATTTTATACACGAATTCTCCTTTGCTTCTCAAATTCAAATATCAACACATGAATCACACGAACAACAAAAAATCCAAGCCATAGAATATTTTATGGTTGACAGTTATTATTCTTGGAAATCGGACAAAAATCAATATAGTGATAATAATTAATAATAAGTATAACAGGATACCAATAATAAAGCTGTTAACATTTTTGGAACAACAAGCCACTGATTAATAAATCGTTTGATTGGAATTCCAAAGATTATGTTAATTTTTTTAATCAAGAACCATAATTGTTTGTCTGAGATATTTATAGAAAGTAATGATAATAGCTTTCTAGCTATTTAATTAAGTTCTTTAAATTATAGAATGAGCCATTCATTAATTTTGTCAATTTTAATTTTTCTGAATTAATAAATTTTGCATTCATGAAAATCCATAGTTCAACTCAAGTAATAATCTCAAAATCTCAAGATAAAGATAATATTTCAGAATACAAGTCATCAAAAAAATTTATTTATTGATTATCTACTCTTTATAAGAAATAAAAATGATGAAATTAGCAATGTTAGATCCTTTTATAAAAAAACAGATACATGATATTAAGTTACTTTATTTTTATTTCTGCTGCTTTTCATCATGGCTGTTTATCATTCTTTTCTTCCATTCTTTTCCTTTTTATTATTATTTATCAACATATTATTAAATTTATATTTTCTATCCTTCTCATCTTTATCCTTGTTATCATCACATGAAAATTTATTATTAATGATAGCGATTTCAAAATTTGATTCTTGTTTACAAGTTCCAAAATCTTCATCTTTATCATTGGCATCTTTATCACATGAAGATTTATTATTATTAAAGGTGATAATTTCAAGATTTGGTTCTTGTTTACAAGTTTTAAAATCTTCATCAGAATTAATCTTTTTTTTATCATACCTATGATCATCATGGCCTCTGTTACCTTCAAAATAAAAGTCTTCTTTGTCAAGATTATCCTTTTCATAATCTTCATCCCTATAACCACTATCACTATTAACATTGTTTTTGTAATCGTCATCTTCTTCATCACTAATAACATGTTTCTATAATCATCATGTTTTATAATCATTATCACCATTAACATTATTTTTATCATCATCATCATCTTTATCATCATCATCATCATCATCATCATCACCATCACTATTAAAAGTAAAATTCTCATTGTTTCTAATCTTTATCTAAAAATAAATAAAAAAAATATGATCGCGTAACGGGTTGTACACTGTCAGATCGTCAAATCGTCCAACCTTTGCAACCTTTGGAAAATGGAAATTAATATTTTGTAGGGTAATATTTCAGTCTGAATTTACGATTAATTATTATTATTTTAATTTTTTTTTGCATAATTACCAAAATTACCCAAATGACATGACAAATACAAGACAACCAGCTAAAAATTTAACATGTTTGTTTAAACACATGGCTGATAAATATCCAGAGAGACAATTAGTTCCATGTAAAACCGACTCATGAACTTGGAATCACACACTGCAGTTGAAAAGATAATTGAATTAGTTAAGTATTTTCTTGAATTATCTCCATTAATTAATTCTTTAGAAGATTTTTTATTATGTGAAAAACATTATAATCAAATAGTTGTTATTGACGATTTTTATGAGAATTTTTTCAATTTAGCAACTTTAATGATGAAAAAAAAAAAATAAAAGGCTTTGACATGATGATAATGATCAATCTGGTATTTTAGGCAACTTCGAAGAATAAAGGTGAACTAGCAACAATCAAATCAAAATTTCAACAATTATTATGGATCTTAATAATAAAATTTTGGAAATGTAAGAACTATTTTTTTTTTATAAAGCAATATTCTCCCATATAATCTTTATTAGAATATAGTAAAATTTAAGTACACAATAAATTACAATACAAATTTCTAATTTAATTTATATCTTTGAATAATTAATAAAGGTCCTTCTATTAAATTTCAAGAAAGAACAGATATGCCGAATGGAATAACTATTTGGAAATAAAAATGGTGAAATAACAGAATTAAATAAAAAAATAAAAAAATATCAGTGTGTTCAATCATGAAAGAGAACCCTTTAAATCATGGTTGGTGGAACATTAGTATTGGTTTTAGAAATCTAGTTACTTATTGAGAAAATGCCAAAAAGGAAAAGATAATTATTTTTCTTCTAGAGGTCTTGACTTTTTGTTGGGTAATAATGCACTATCATGATGTTTTCTTTTCATCAAAAATTTTGAGTAGAGCTTTTCTTAGGCCAATTTAAAGCAGGCATGGGAATTCTTCTGCTTCTAATTTTTCTTTCAATAAATTGTGATTATATCTATTTGAAATCAATCAAATTTACTTGTTCTTTATTTTCCTTGACCTGCAAATAAGTAAACTAATGAAAAGTCTTTAAAATGACAGAACATTATCTATATTCATTTTTGCTAATTGTCTTAAAATTCTTGCTTGTTGGTTTGTTTAACATAAATATGATCCTCAATGATTTTGTTAGAGCTTGTTCTAGTTTGTGCATCTATTTTTCTTGAATTCAAGTATTTATCAAAAATTATCTGAGAGAACTTCTTCTATTTTAGTTGCATTTGTTTTTCACATTTGGAAATCATAGACTTAGATTAAAAGATAATGATCCAGAATATGGTATTCAACTAGTACATTTTCCAACAACACAAAAATTTGCCAAAGCAAACACCTCACCAAACTTACCACCAATGTAACCAAAGAATTATAACGCCTTCTACATAATAATAATATTAAATTTTTACAATAATAATAAAATTTATTGTATTTCAACAATAATTAATTTGTTTCAAAAGAAAATGTCTAATCATTATAAAATAGTTTCAACAAAAATTGAAGTTTCGGAAACAAATTATAGTTTCGGCACAGTGATTGAGTTCCGGCACGGTGATTAAGTTTCGGCAAAGTAATCGAGTTTCGAATTATTAGTTTCTATAACCTTTTTTTTCTGAGTTTCGGCATCATCACAATTTAGTTTAGGCAAACTTCTATAAGCCTGGGCCTATAAAAAATAAATTTTTGTCCAAAGCATTTCGGCAATTTCAGCTACTAAGGGAGGTAGTTTCGACCAGAAACCTTAATAAAGACACACTGGCAAAACAAAAGTCTGCCCCTATTTTATATAATATCTTTTATTTTTTCATTAACAATTTTTCTTTGATGAAAATACAAGCAAGCACTAGTCCCATTTAGTAAAAATAAACCGGAAAAATTATATTATTATGATGTCACAAGATCCATATAAATCAATCATTTGAAGTTTCACTATACTGATCTGGTAATCAGGTTGCTTTTGTAAATACATTTGTATCGCAAGGACCAACTACTAACTAACATAGGATTTTTACCATCTATCTAGCTTCACAACTAAATAAATTGTTAATAATCTTCGAACAATCTCATCACAATCACGTGTGTCGAATTTAATTCGTTCCATAGAAATGTGCTTGTATATTTCTAGGCGACGCGAATTACATAATCAGTTGATTTATAATTATCATTTTATCATTTACTTTTTTTTTTTTTTTTGATAAAAGAATTAAATAATGCAATCCAATAAAGTTGAAATCACGGACAAAATCTTAGATCCGAAGATGATTGAAGCTATGGACAGAAAAGAATTACAAGCGCATTGTAAAAAATTTGGTTATAAGGCAAATCTAAAAGTAATAAATCATTAGTCATAAATAAATTTTTTAATAAAAAAAATATATTTCAGAAAATTTATTAACATGTTTTGAATAATAGAATGAAAAATTAAAAGAAATGTTGTTGCATCGAACAATGAGACAAATTGGTATTGGTATTGAGGAGGGAGATTATAATGGTAACATAATTGCTTAGATTTATATTATTGCTGATTTAATAATGAAAAAATTAAATTATTAATTATTATAAAAAAAAAATATAGCCTCTGATATTCTACAAAGGAGTTTTAAACGGTATTGTGAACTGCAACAACAACAAAGTTCTGAAGAAGCTTCAAAATATGATACGCCATCATCAGCGTATTCTTCATTTTCTTCATCATCAACGCTACCAACTACGGCCGCAACAACAACAACAACAACACATAATAATTATAATGATGATATTGCAAACGGTAAATTAATTGTGTTTAATGATTATATTCTTATGTGGATCCAATCAAATTAAATATTAAATATTATATTTATTATTCAGAAATTGAACTTACCGAGGTTGCTGAAGAATACCTGACCTTAGGCGAAACGGTTAAAGAAACAGAGCCTGCAGCAAAACTATTAACAATAGATGCTAAAGAGTATTTGTCATTGGGTGAAAAGATCAAAGAAATCGAAACCGCTCTAACATCATTGCCAAACACAGGCGAATCACCATCAAAATTGATTGGGACTAATGATAATGATGCTGAGAACACCAATACAGCTGATAATAATGACGAAAATGGGAGAAACAATCGATTGGATGATGATATTGATCAGAGAAATAAGAGGTGTTACTTAGATTACATCAGTATTTAGTGTTAAATTGGTTAAAGCAATTACGTCATTGTGGGAACCAATCAGATTTACATGGTGAGAACTTTGACCATTAAAACTTGCAAGGACGTTTTTGACAAGGGTCAAAATTTGGTTTTTGCATAATAGAAAATTCTTCAGCTGCTTTCACTTCTTTTTTGTAAAAAAGGATTAACATTTTTGCATGGGCGGTCTCAAATGAGAGGAACATTTGGTTGGATGATGATATTGATCAGAGTAAAGATGTTACTAGATTACATCAGTATTTAATGTTAAATTGGTTAACGTGATTGCGTTATTGTGGGAACCAATCAGATTTTACATGGTGAGAACTTTGACCATTAAAACTTGCAAGGGCGTTTTTAACAAGGGTTTTTGCATAATAGAAAATTCTTCCGCTGCTTTCATTTGAAGATAGGTTCTTTTTTATAGAGAAACATTCGATTGGATGATATTGATCAGGTGTTACTTTGACTGCATATATCAAATATTAGTCAGTATTTAGTGTAAAATTGGATAACGTGATTACGTTGTTGTGGGGACAAATCAGATTTTATGTGGTGCGGGCATTGACCGTTAAATCAATTTCTTTTACTTGAAGATAAGTTCTTTTTTGTAAAAAAGGATTAATATTGCATGTACAGTTCTAAAAGAAGAATATACGATTGGATGATATTGATCAGAGAAATAAGAGGCGTTACTTAGGCTATATAAAAAAAAATTTTTTATCATACATCAGTCAGTATTGAGTGTTAAATTGGATAACGTGATTATATTACTGTGGGAACCAATCAGATTTTACGTGGTGCGGGCTTTGACCATTAAAATTTGCAAAGAGCGTTTTTAACAAGGACCCAAAATTTAGTTTTTGTATAATAGAAAACTCTACCTCAACTGTTTCAACTTTTTTATCCATTAAAGTTTCTCTCTTCTTTACTTGAAGATAACATCAGGATCTTAAAAATCAAATTTACATCGCGTTGATTTGCGTTTATCAGCTATATTCTATTGTACTACTTTTAAATTGAGTTCTACAACGTTAAATATCGATTAACATCATTTACAACGCAAATTATAGTATATAGTAAGTTTAAAGTTTAATATACTTTAAATTTTTTTAAAAAATTTTAAACTTTTTTAAAACCTTTTTTTCTATTCATTTCAAACTAAAATTCTCCTTTCACATATTATCCACCGCACAAAAACTGAAAAAAGAGGCACGTTTTATTTTTCAGCATCGAAAGGATAATACTTTTCGACAACATTTTATAGGTTCTATGAAATATCCATATACACCGAAGCAATTGCATACGCTTTCCCGAAAGCGTGCTGTATTGCTTTTAGATGTATTTACGAAGATATATCAAGCACGAAATCAGTATCATTTGATTACTAAAACTTCATATAATGGTATTAACTCATACAAATTGCCTTCTTTAGTTTACGAAATAACCGATCGTCACCTTCCAAAGGCCTTGTTACTTCTAGAAAACCATTTACAACATTTTTTGCGATTACATATATTGTGATTATACTAACTATACTAATTTGAATAATTGTAGTGTATATACTCACGTGTGAACAATCATTGTCTACAAAGGTGCCAATCTAAATGTTTGATGTCTTTGACTATCTTCAATTCGAAATCAAAAAAAAAATGTCAACGCACTAAAAGAAAGTATGACGAAAAGATTAAACAAAAATGAGTTTATCGAAAATATCAAAAATATCAAAATACAATTGATGATGTTCTGGGTAACGTTTAATCAGCGATAAATGATGCAACAATGGAAACTTTATTAGAACATGCAAAAAAAACATTTTATGGGTTGTAAATTTTGTTTTTATTAAATAAATTTGTTCGATTTTTTCATCGTTCATGTTTTGTCTTAATCGTATATCTTAAATATTGGTTGTGTTTACAATCATTTTGTCAACATTCATTATATTAAGGTCATTTTGATTATATCGAGAGATATGGTCAAGAGAAGAGTTAGGAAGAGAGTTATTCATTTGATCGGGAATCAAGGCATCAGTATTCTGTATTGTAGTTACGCAATTTACTTCAATCTTTATTTTTGACCTTACGCACAGTTATTGGAATAAAGAAATCTTTGCCATCACATGTAACTTTTAACTCGCACTTAGACGCAAGTAAATCATAATTATATTTATCTAGAAGAGGATTACTAAATGCCAATAAAAACTTAGGATGCTCAACAATAACAAATTTTCCGCGTAAGCTACAACCAGGTATCAGGTTTATAGAAACCTCAGAAGTAGTTCCAATTGATGTAGTTGGTACTGTGGCCTCCCCACTGAGATTATGTTTTTCATCTGTATTAATTTTCAATCCTAATCGCTTAGCTAAGTTATGAGACATGATAGAATATTTTGCGCCTGAATCAACATGGCTGCCGGGATCTTTAAATGTTTAATTTTACATTGAATGGTTGCGACGCTTGTAGCTGGCTCTTTTTTCTGAACAAAATCTATTTCCATAGGATCATCTAATGTTTCCTCTTCCCCATCTGATTCGATAATTTTCAAAATCTAATTTTGCATTTGATATACAGTGCAGAAGCTCTATAATAGGAACAAATGTTGCCTTTTTTTAAAAGGGTGTAGATCACCCAAAAAAAATTTTAAAAAAAAAGTACACCGTAATTTTGATAGCTAATGACCTTAACTTTA